TCTCTCTCTCTCCTCCTCCTCCCTCCCTCCCTCCTCCTCCTCTCTCTCTCTCTCTCTCTCTCTCTCTCTCTCTCTCTCTCTCTCTCTCTGTATATGTATTCCTTTACAACCTTTTCTTTTGTTATTCTCTGTTCAAGTTGATTGGTTGGAACCTTCTCTAGTATCCAACAGTTTGTAGAAATTGAACATGGGAGGGCTTATGCGGCTTCCTTATAAAGATTTTAAATTGAATTGGTAAATTGCATTGAGACATTTTGCTAGCTGTTTCCAAGTGTATTGACAGGCTTGTTGTATCAGTTGACATCAGAATATGTAGTGTATGTCGTTTTTGGCTTCTTTAATACACTTGATTATTGCATATCTTGGTAACCTAGGTAATAATAGATGTATGCATTTTCATTCTTTTCTTTGCCTTCTGCAGGGACAGTTGTTCTGGAGAGAAGATGCATCCTGGTTCTGATACTGGAAGCACAGAAACGTACATGGTATTCTTGTTGTTGAATAGTTTGTATTTAGAATTTCCCTTGTTATAATTGCACAAAATGGGAAGATCCTGAGTGGTCATGGTTCATAGTTGCCAATCATGAGTTATTAAATGTTCAAATTTTTTGTGTGGTGGTTCTAAGGAAAAGTTCAGGATTATCTGTAAGAACTTTTTGTTATTTGGTATTTCTTTGTTCCATGATAGCACTTCTTTTTCTTTAGGACATCACAATTACATAGAATATTTGTAGTCATATTAGGTATCAACACTAGTGAGGGCTCATCATCTCATTTGGATTTTAGATGCCTGGTGTTGGGACCATTCCAAATGCCACTATGATTCCTCCACTGGCTGGCACAGAGTTTATGGGTAATGAACTGCATCCAGAATATACTTTTGACCGAAGACCGAACTATCCTGCTGCCAACCATTATGGCTATCTTTGTCCTGGTAAGTCGTGTGTTTGCAGGTTGTACCTGCTACTTAAGTGCAGACCTTTTGAACAACTCTGTCTGATCTGTTAAATATATCCATCCAGCATATGAATCGCCTGGTGAATGGGGTGACCACCATGGCATTTTTGGGTTAGATGGACAAGATCTTCATTACATGGTAAGTTCAAGTATTTTTTTATGAGAAAAAAAATGTTATTTTTTTACCATTAATTAGCTTGTAATTTGATTTTCTTTTGGCAGGGTCTGCAAGCTGAAAGTTTGCCTTATGTGTATTACTCCCCTGGCTATGTATATGCTCAGTCTCCCTTCAACCAATATACGTCTTATGTACCTGGTGCTGTTACAGGTCTAGATGGTTCATTTTTAGGAACACAACAGTATCTGAGTAGTCCCTCATACCAACCCCCAATTTCTTCACCTGCATATATTCCAGTTATTGTTCAACCTAGTTCTGATTTTGTGACTAGTAGATCAATGGATCCATTTCTGTTCGGTGCCAGTACATCAGTGGCTACTAGACCTACTAATGTAAGCACAAAAGTTCCAACACAAGCATCTGTTAGTGTAGCTGCTGCTTCTCAACTGGCAACTTCAATGAGTCCATCAGTGATGTTAGATACTTCTCAGCCACTACATAAGAATCTAGCAGCATTTAAACCATCAGAGGGATCGCAGTTTAACATTCAACCAAGTAATCAGTCTTCATCGCATGAATCTATGATGCATGTTAGTGGCACTACTCGGCATCAGGTATTTTTAAAGCTATATAAATTTTGGAATGTTGTCCTGCTATCATATCTATTATATCTATGGGTGTCTGTCATGATTTTCTGTAATGGCTGCCCATATTTGAGCCTTCTTTTCGGGGGACCACAATTTCCTGTTGAATAATTTTTTGAGGTGTTGTATACTTGATGCTGACGATGACATATTTTTCTACATTATCATTGTGTATTTTATTCTTTAATGTTCATGGTTGCTAATCCTGCTATGCTCTTCGATTGCTTGTTACTTTGATGTTCTAAAATATCTTGCATATCAATCTGTTAATCTATCAGGCTGTATGTTCTTGTGATCCAATTCGATTAACATATGAATTTTCACATGGAAGGATGTCTTTTTGGACAGAGTCATGGTACAGTTGCTGGACCATCCTCCAGAGGCTTAACAAATCGGCAGCCAAATGTTTTTGGGTGGGCCGGTCAGGATGAGCAGAGACGACGACTCCAATCTAAAGATGATGTTACAGATGGGGGCAGACACCCTTATGTTTTAGGGGAACCGAATAAGGAAAGTAAAAACAGGTTAAAGGATCAGTCGACCTCATCAGGTGTTGAGTTAGCTGGTCTATCTCAAATAAGTGCTAGTGATGTTCAAGGAGGATGCATTATTATCAGCCCTGATGATTATAATAAGGATGACTTCCCTGTCAACTATCCAGATGCAAAGTTCTTTGTGATCAAATCTTACAGTGAGGATGATGTGCATAAGAGTATAAAATATAATGTATGGTCAAGTACCCCTAATGGCAACAAGAGGCTTAATAGTGCATATGAAGATGCTCAAAGAAAATCTGCAGGAAAATCAAGAAAGTGCCCTGTCTTTCTTTTCTATTCCGTGGGTGATTTTTTCTCTCAAACATTTCTGCTTTTGAGTTGTCCTTCCCATTTTTGCAAATTATTTGATGACCTGTTCTGACAGAAAAAAGATTTGCATCAGGTCAATGCAAGTGGGCAGTTTTGTGGTCTTGCTGAGATGGTTGGCCCTGTTGATTTTGACCAGGATATGGATTTTTGGCAGCAAGATAAATGGTCTGGCAGCTTCCCTGTGAAGTGGCATGTGATCAAGGACGTATCAAATGCTAGTCTCCGGCACATCATACTAGAGAACAATGAAAATAAACCTGTAACTAATAGCAGAGACACACAAGAGGTATGTTTTACTCGGTAGCTTCCATATTGTTGACATAAAATTTTCAGGTTATGTATCTGCTAGGAAGATAATGTTTATAGGAACAGTAATGCCTCCCTATATACTGCTTCCAAACAAATGTATTGTTTTAGGTGGTGAATACTTAGGATATTATGATAATTGTCTAGATTGACTTGTATGTTTCTTTCATATATCCACACTGAAATAAGTGTTTTTCACACTTTACAAGAAATTCTTTCCATTAAGCAGAAGTATGGCATAGTTATAAATGGAATGGCTTCTTAGTACAATTGATCATTTTCAGAAGCATGGGCAAACTTAATTCAAGCTTAGTTCTAAAATATTTTCTTTTATCCCACACTATGATAAGGATGGAATAGACTTGAGGAAGTATGGTTTGTTGCTACTTTCACGCTTTGCTTAAGCCATGCAAAAAGCCCAAGATGAACATATAATGTGTGGTGCCTTTTTTTCACCTGTGGACAATGTTCTTATGGTGTTCGTATATAGGATGCAGTTCTTGCATTTAAGCTCCATGTATATAAATATACTCTTAGTGCATTTTTCTTGTTCTTGGAACTGAAAGTTTTGATTTTGTTGATAGGTTAGGGTTGTAAATCTAGCTGATGTTTGTTTGTAGTTCCTCTGTTGGAAATTTCAATGGGTTCTTTAACTATCTAGTGTATTTTTATACGATGAATTGCAGTTTCAGCTGTAACCTTACACTTCCACACAATGCATCAGTACTTATTTGCCCCTTTTTGATGCATTTCATAATATGCAATTTTGGGGATATTAGTCTATTATGCGAAGATTGATGAAGGAATTTTGCTTCATCACAAGTTTGTTTCTGCTTAGAATAGTTTTTAGGTGGTTATGCAATATGTTTTGCAAAAATCTATTTCTTTCAGCAATCATGCTCACGTTTGTTTTGACTTACTGAAGACCATTGTTTTGATTATCTGAGATTGCTAATGTAGTTTATGCATTCAGATACCATACAGCGCAGGCATTAATATGCTGAGTATTTTTAAGACTTGTTTGAAGATCATTATTTTGATTATATGAGATTGCTGATGTAGTTTATGCATTCAGATACCATACAGCGCAGGCATTAATATGCTGAGTATTTTTAAGACTAGTTTGAAGATCATTGTTTTGATTATATGAGATTGCTGATGTAGTTTATGCATTCAGATACCATACAGCACAGGCATTAATATGCTGAGTATTTTTAAGACAAGTTTGCTGAGAACATCGATACTTGATGACTTCATGTTTTATGAAGTGCGGCAAAAAAAGATGATGGAAGATAAAATTAGACATTTTGGGAGGAGCTACACTGCTTCTCTTCATGTTCCTGCAGTTGTTGCTCGGAGTGGACCTGATGGGAAAGCTGACCACCCTCCTAGAGTAGGTGAAAACCATTCAAGTGCTGTGGTGCAAATTTCCCAGGCAGTGGAATATCAAACTGATGATGCAGCAGCACAGCCATTAAAATCTAGAGAGAAAATGCAAGATGATTCAGCTTCTAGGCCCCCAAAAATAGATGGAAAGCATTCGGGTGTTGCAGTTGATAAATCCCAGAGAACAGATGGAAAACAGTTTAGTCCTGCTGTCAGCTTGTTGCCTTTCAAAGCGGATGGGAACAGTTCCACCGATACAAAAGACCTGCATTTTATAACAGGTGGGATGCAATCAAGTGAGATTCAGTTTCCGATGGGGAATGCCAAGTCAGAACCTGCAGTAAATTCTGCAAAACTGGATGAAAAACAGCATAGCCTTGTGACGAATCAGCTGCCAAAATCAGAAATTAAACCACCAAGTTTTGCAGTATCTCCAAGAGAGGATGGAATGGAGGCAAAGCAGAAAATTCAACGATCTCCAAAGCCAGATGGGAACCTTATTAGTCCCAATGATGTCAATAGTGTAGGTAAAACAGGCCCTAGTGGGGGACAGGCGAAGACCAGCGTGCACTCAGAATCTTCGGATTTTGAACCCTACTACTTATCCGGAGACGGCAAAGATACTAATGCTATCATAAAACCTGGTATGCGTTCCGTTGATCCCAAGCAAGGTACAACCATGGGCTTAGAGGTCATCCCCCCTGACGTGGTTAAGGTTGGATCAATGCAAATCAAGGTTGACCTTGGTGAATCTCCCTCTAGGGTTATGAGTGTCCGGGCAAAGTCTACCGAATTCAAAGGACCAAGGCTGCACAAGAAGGGTATGTCGCCTGATGGTCAGCGACCAAGGAAATGATACTGTGGTCTAGATTGTTTATCATGCTAATTGCTTTTGCTGTTGATCCTTACTGGTCTCATTCATGATCATCCATCCCATAGTGCCCCAATATCTAGGAGCTTTTTTTCTTGAATCCATTTGCTCTGCCAGGGTTTTATCTGCAAGCAGAGTTTATTTAATTTTCCATTTCTCCTTTCTTGTTTTCGATTGGCTCAGTTATGTTTTTGGGAAAGGTTTAGGGAGGTGGGGATTCTTTCTTCACTGTTGATGAAAATCTTATTTTGCGTTCTTACAGGATGTAACTCTTTTTCTTTTCATATGACATCCAAAAGATGAAATGCAACATAGTGGGATGAATTGGTGCATAGCTGTTTTCTATCCTTACTGCGTTGGCTGTTCTTATTCTCGATCGTGTAGTTGCTTTGTTCTCATTCTTTTTAATTGCTTGATTCAAAGATTTGACTAGAAACATTGGTGATGCATCTTATAGCGTCAAATGGAGCACTGTTGTTGTTTGGGCAAGCAAATTTCTTCTTGGATATATATAGTTTGGCATCATTGTTTAATCCGTGTTAGGATTGGTAAATTGTGGTTAGTACCAGTAAAGAACAATGAGATTGATCTTTATCAAACGCATTATTCCATATCATATCTTCTTCCTTCCAACGAATTAGCCTTTTGTAGCTTCTTAAAGCAATCTCGCATAGAGATTCAATACACTCCCAAAATATTGATTGCAACATCATAAAGATTAGCCCACAATGATGTCGGGCTAATCAGATCAGAGTAAAATATCACATGTTGATTGTTGAAAAGATGATCTTTGAATCAAATCTAATCTAATCTAATTTGTAGATAATCAAACTTTTACTCTTTAGAGTCTTACATATCTTATAAACAATAATTTTGACAAATATATCAAAACTTGATGCAAAAGATGAAGTTGTTTCCTTTTCATGATCATATAAGATAGATACTATTACAATAACATGAAATGGTAAGCCAAAGACTGTGTATAAATACACATCAATTACTCTTGCATCAATTCAACCAATGAACCACCAACCAGGAAATATAACAAAACCAATTCATCAAAAAAGCAATCACAGAGTCTAACCCGAAAACAACAAGATTATTATCCATCTTCCGAAACATAGGGGCAATCTAAAGTTTCCATCTCAAAATTTGGTTGGCACTGATTGTTTTGCCCTAAGAACATCAGCTAAACATTCGATCAAAGGCTAAAAGCAGATGAAAGATGCCTTCTTGCAGATAATGCACCTAATTTTTTGTCCAGAACAGCAACTGGTCACTCACCTTGAGACTTCTGGTAGACGTAGGTGAGGCCGCACTTTCCGCAGTAGTGACGGTCGAAGTGGTTGGCCATGAAAGTGCCGGCGCCGCACTCCGCGTTGGGGCACTCCTTCCGCAGCCTGGTGACCTTGCCGGTAGCGTCGTCGACCTTGTAGAACTGGAGCACGGCGAGCTTGACCTTCTTCTTCTTGTGCTTGATCTTCTTGGGCTTGGTGTAGGTCTTCTTCTTGCGCTTCTTGGCGCCGCCGCGGAGGCGGAGGACGAGGTGGAGGGTGGACTCCTTCTGGATGTTGTAGTCGGCGAGGGTGCGGCCGTCCTCGAGCTGCTTCCCGGCGAAGATGAGCCTCTGCTGGTCCGGCGGGATCCCTTCCTTGTCCTGGATCTTGGCCTTGACGTTATCGATCGTGTCCGAGGACTCCACCTCGAGGGTGATTGTCTTCCCCGTAAGGGTCTTCACGAAGATCTGCATCTTTCCGGCGCTCAGTGGCCGGGTGCCGCCGCCGCCGCCGCCGCGGTTGTCAGGTTAGGAGTTCGGCCCTCACGAGCTAATCCGCATAGAAAGGTTAGGGTTCCCGACACGGTGGAAGAGGTCTTATACCGAAAGGTCGGCGCGGTGTGCAAACCCGCCGGTATCTTAGTTTCGGTGTACCGGATGATCATCACCGTAGATGCATCATAAGGTTTGTGAGGGCTGTGATGATAGGCATTTAGAAGTAGGGCAAATTGGGATAAATAAATAAATAAATATATATATATATATATAATTTATCACTATAAATATATGTTAAATATGAAGTTAACGTAATTACATTAAAACACAAAATAATATTAATATATCTTCAAAAATAAATAAATAAAAAATTAATCAGTCAATTAATTGATGAAAATGACAAAATACAATTTAAGTTTTTAAAAACTTAATATGTATTTTTTTAATATTTAATAATAATAATCAATAATAAATATAAATGTGATTGTCAACCTCACTTAATAAATTTATTACTCATTTTTCGAGTATTGTTTGTGAAGAAAATTTTGAAACGCAAATGTGATGCTAATATCTCATATCAAAAGATCTTTATCCCTTTCCTTCTTATAGAAAACTATGTTGGATTTCACCTGCAAAACCTTTGTTCTGGTCAAGTCAGTGTTTTTTCCCTTCATTTGGGCATTGATAAAGAACATAGCAAAATCTCTGTTTTGAAAGTGGTAATGTCGCAGTTGTTGTTGTTGTCTCAATCTGGACGGACTCGATAGGGTTGGGATGGGGGTGTTTGCTTTTGCGTAGACGAATTGCATGTAAATGAGATGCATTGGGAATAATACATCAGAGGCCTCCGATCCTTCCATCTCTGCGCAGAAACCACCAGCTTCGAACCAGCGACACTCGGGACAGTCATGTCACCAACTTACACCTCCTCCTTGAATGAGGCATTCCTATGCCGAAGAAGGCAGCTGCAGCAAGTATCCTGGGAACTGATAGTAGTTGGTGGGAGTAGGTGATTCGATCGGACTCGCTTTAACCATTCTTAGTACCACTCTACCGAACTCATCTCCTCGGTTGATGATTGTTATATGAAGATGCAGTCTCCATGCGTTGGCAGGCTCAGCTGCTTCATCAACCTGTTTTAACTGCAGACCTTAAAAGCTCAACTGTTACCAGTCGGTGCAAGTAAATGTCACCTGCATCCGCTCCGCTATAAGATGGGCTGCAACCAGTGACATACACAGTCCATGAGAACTAGAGAAGCAAGCATGGAGAGGTCTTCTGCTAAGATGGTTCTGGTTCTTGCCCTCTTCCTTGCCTCCTTTGCTGTAGGGCTCGAAGCAAGGAACCTGGACGCGGAGCCAAAAGCTTATCAGCCTCAGAACATTCCTGGGGCATTTAGGGGGTTCCTGGGGAGGCCCAACCTCGGCGGAGCTCCTCGCTTCGGCCTTGGACGACCATTCCGCGGCATTCCGGGCTTCGGGACCGTGCCGGGGGTACCGGCAGCATCGGGCGGCGACCGCGGTGCTCCTCCACCATGATGGATGGCCATGGCTGCCTCGGACCTGAATCTGTCTGTGTAGGAAGTGGAGCTGCTTTAGTGTTTTAGCTTGTGAGGGTGTCGTCTACTTAGCTCGTGTGTGTGCGTGTGTGTGTGTGTGTGACATGTGTGCGTGTGTGTGAGAGAGAGTGAGAGTGAGAGAGAGAGAGAGAGAGAGAGAGAGAGGTGGAGGTTGTGATGCTGTGGAGTCCTGAGTTTACTCTCTTTCTAATAAACAATGTGCTTTTGTGTTGGCTTATTACTCTTATGGACTAGTTGAAAGGTGCAGTATTGGGATCTCTCTCTGTCCCTCTCTCTAGTATTGGTGCACTAACACATGAGATTGGATAGTTCACTACTTTGAACTGCTCCACTTAAAGAGGGTGAGTTGAAGTCACTCATCTCTCATCACTGTATAATGCATGCAAACTTATCTTACATGAGATTGCTTTCTTGATCAAACTATGATCTCTTTCATGGGACTAATACTGCAAATTGCAATATCAATTCAGCAATTTATCTGGTTTCAGAAATGTCTACAAGACTCGAATCCCCTTAGCAAATAGAGGAGGTGAATCAAATCAGACAAGGATGAATCCCCAAGAAAAGGCATCCACTTTAGTAGATATATAGAGTTGAGTTCTGGCTTCTGTCTGTAGTCTTTCAATTTACAGGTCAAGTTAGCAACCATGGCTAATAATCATACGAACTGCAAAGAATCAGATACTGCATAGTGGTGAGAATGTAACAAAGGTTTCTTCTCTCCAAATGCCACATTCTTACGTTCTTGTAAGGATGCATGTACAGAAGTCATCGATAATTTCCAACCTCTTTTATTGTTGCAATATGAGGTTAGACTCCTCGACTTACATTCCATGGTCACAAGTAAATAATGTATAGAAGTAACTTCCATTTGAGTCAGGCCGCATGATTCATTGCAACTCCATTAATACCCGTAGAGGAGAATGTGAGTGAATCGTGCGCAAGTGTCTGCAATACGGTAAATCAGATGATGAGCAAAAAAAAAAAAACTAGTAGTAGACCACAACTCCTAATTTGTCGATCAAGAATACGGTAAACAACCGATTCACATTTATGAATATTACTAAAGTTTTGCATGTCAATATAGTTTGTAATACAAGAAGAAAAACAGATTTAATTGGACTAAAGTGTAGGTAGCATATGAATTTGCATCAGCTACAATGTTAGGCTTGAAGTAACCAAGATTTTTTTTCCCTATCGTTTAGAAATTATTCATTCCAGATGCATAGTTAAAATCATAGGCTATAGTTAAATTCATGTGGTGTTATTCAATTTTTGCAAAAAGCTCACTTGGAACACTCGATGCCCATAAGATCTCTTGAATTAAATGGAGATTCTAAAACCAGAAAACAAGAATACTATTAACCAATCAAATTCATATGAAACAAAATGAAGCAAGAAAATACTACTCTTCACCACACAATGTCAACCCCTCATTCCTCTCTGTAATTCCGATGACAAATGACATCAGGTTTACAGCATGTATGATGTGAGATGATGGATGGTTGCAGATTTTATTTTAAACTCTCCACACAAAATATAGAATGATCACTAAGATACCGGCCTTTCTATAGTCATGATTTAAACCAATATCAAGGCATATTACTAGAGATTAGATGTCGAGCCCGGTTCCATGTAAACCTGAAGTAACACTAAACCCCTTGTGTTTACAACCAGAAAACTTATCAGCCTTGGTAATATTTCAAAAGATCTAAACAATCTTGAAAAAACTTCCCGCAATCATATTATTTATCAGATGCTTCTGTGAATCAGAATTTTTTAAAATGGCATAGAAAGAATTGTAACCATGGGATAACAAAAAAAAATGTCATAGAAAATGATATTTCTAGTGCATCCATAAAAGAAGTTCAAATTTTTTAACATAAAAATGATAGCAAAACTTGAATACTGTTTTCACCTGTTCTTGTGAGCGGAAATACATGAATGGTGTATAGTGGAGAAAATTTGAAACCCTGGATGTATAAATATCTGCATACCTGCATTTGAAAATAATCACACATCAATTATAAACAAACCAGAGTTGCATGTATTCTCACTACCCGTCTGTTGATGGGCAAATCAGAAAGCTAGTACAGGATGACATACTTTTCAATTTGTCTTGTAAGGTGACTCTTATCCCACAAGCCGGCACGTGAGAGATAACCCCACCTGGTAAGGAGCAAGTAGCTTAAGCGAATGAGGCTTTGAAATTAATATCCACAAAAAACAAAAATTCAGAGAGCAACAAGCATTCAAGAAGAAATAAAGAACCTGGGACCTAGAATTAGGATTGATTGGATCAGCCTAATCAGATCAGCAAATCAAGAATGACCAAAAAGTTAACATTAAAATAAAAAACAAGAAAAAAGTCAAATGCCAAGTTTCAAAAAAATTACATCTCATTGGTCTACCCAAACCTTGCAGGATAGTCATGCTGCCACAATGTCCTACAGCTTCTCTATCCATTTCTTCTTCTAATTTGATGTCTAGCAATCACAATAGCATGAACCAGATGGGATTGACCAGTCTTAGCTGAATTGTAGCCAACACATCCACTCATATGGCTGAGAATGGCCAAAATCAAAACAGGTCGACAGATGACGTTTGACCAACATAGGTGCATGGGCTGGGTGAATCAAATATGTACAGGAATTGTTGGAAAGAGGAAACAAAGCCAAGGATTTAGACTGCAGCATTCCACATATGAAGTGGTTTTTGGTAATAAAATAGAGGTGAAGTGACAAGGAGGGGAAAAAATGTGTATATTGATAGAGGAAGAGAGGAGGAAGAGGAAGAAAGACTTTCTTTTTTCAAAAAAGGAAGTTAAATTACTGCTTCAAAGTTCTACAGAAATATCTGGTTAGGTCATTTGATTGATACCTTTGTATCTATCACTTTGTATCTGAAGAAAGACTTCACTTGCTTCACAATGTACCCAAAGGCAAACAATAATGAATGACAACCTTTGGTCAGAGTCTCAGGTAAAAGCCACATTGAGAAGAAAGAGAACACCGCACAGACAATACCAGGTTATACAATCACAACAGCAAGGTAAAAGATTGATCATTGCTGGACTGGGTGACCCATTCCAAGGCCCATTATATGTGATTAGTCATTGCTAGATCACCTAATCATAAACTCCTACTGGACCAAGCTTATATATGGTCCACGACCGATACACTTTTTTTCTCACATATCGCATTAGGTATCAAAACTACTTTTTTTACCTTTTATTAAAGAGTTCTCCATCTGCTTCCAACATTGGTGCAATTTTCTGATCTAGTCTTTTCATAAGAATCAGCAGTTTCTGCATGCTTTCTGTCAGTTCTTGGTCATCCATATTATTTGCAGCACGAGTCTGAGAAAAGAAACAAGACAAGAGGAACCTCAAAAATGGTGAAATTTTGATGGTCAAAACATTAAACAAAAATCTCAGAATCACAGAACTTAGATGCACCCAAGTTCCACTATTTTTTTTATGAAGTCACTT